GGTGGGGCTGGAGTAGAGGAAGAGGGAGTAGTGACGTGGGGTGGTGTGGGGTATGGGGCTACGGAATCGAGACCTGTCGGCCGAAAAGGGGCTCTTCTAGTGTTTGCAGACGAGATTTGTAGGGCAGGTAATGACGTCTCGGTGACATCCGCCTGAAAAATGATGACGTCATTACATTTGACTATGGCAACTACTCAAGTGTTGGGGGGGACGTACTCTCCAAGCACTACGTTATTCAGACATGTTTTCATTAACTCAACAGACGTAATTCCTGAGAGAGATGACTTCCCCTCTTTTGTTTAATGTTTGATCCCTTCAAGCATGTAGGCCTATAGAGAATAGGCCTACTAAGAATAACAACGAGGCAACGTTTGCAGTCTGTGACAAAATCCGACGTAGCTGAAGCCTAGATTAGATTGTGAGAACTTAGGCGGACACAAACTCAACTCTTCTGAAGCGCTTTAGCTTCTAACATGTTAGAATTGGCTACTGAGATTTTTCTTTCTTCATTGAGATCAATGTACATAATATATACTTGTCATAATTGTAAACGAACGCTCCATGTGACTCAGTTTGAGTACTTTAACGGCTTAGCTTTATGGAGGGAAGTAAAATGAAAATTAGGAAGGAGTTCCGCAGAGTGCCGGCCGACCAACAACACACAAAAGAGCGGATTTTTTAGAGGGGTATGCCCCAAACCTAATCATAACCCTAACCCTAAACCTCAACTCTAACCCTAAACCCCACCCCTAACCCTAACTCTTGTATAGCTTGCTCACTGGACCTTGTCACCGTAAAAGCCGGCCCTCTGCGGAACTCCTCCCGAAAATTATATATCAACATTTTAACTTCACCATTCCGCTTGAGTCGAATGGCAAAAAGTTCAAAGGGTCAGAAGTGCTTACGATATTTCAAACAGGGCACGGGTCCTCCCTCCCCCTCCCCCACCCCCTCTTTTTTCAACCTTTTTTCATCAACAACAAACGGACGTCTTTTAAAAATAACAAGCACGGGCTCTCACTCGTTAGCAAAAGGATACGCCCTCTCAAGCCGAAAAGAGAATCCATTCTTCACATGAACGATGCGACTGTTTTTCAAAGACCAAAAAAAATGTCTCTAATGTATTAGCGGCAGCTCTCCACC